ACCACAAATCTTTCTCCTTTTTCACAGCCCCTTTATAAGACATTTTCCCAAAATTTTACCGTCGAGCGGGGTGAGGAAGGGGGGAGAAGAGGTATGAAGATCTTCGGAAAGGGTGACTTGGCGGTGTCTCTGCGTCTAACAACCTATCTTCATCTTAAAAAATTACACCATTTCATACCGGCTCATTCATCTAAAATCCTGCTGTTTACCCAAGAAACAGGTGTCGAGTGGGTGGAGGTTCTCTAGAAAGGGCTACCACAGTCTATTTTGAGGGATAGTGGTTGACTCGCCAATCGAGGACGGGAAGAGGAAGGAGAATTAGCGTGCGTGAACCAGGAAGGATTTCACAAGTTTTTTTCTCGCAACACTAAAAGAACCCCCTTGAAAGAAGATTAAAGCGGCGAAATTACGATGCACACTCCTTCTTTCCCCCTTGCCTTTTGTGTCTCTGACAATGTGTGCTGTGATCTTGGGTGGAGCCTCCCCGAAATACATATCTGCTTGGGAACTTCCTGCTATTGGAGAGAATTTTTGCAAAATACTACCACCCTCCCCCGCCCCTCAAAAGTTCCTCCTCTCTTACGACGTCCTCCCCATTCCCAATCCCGGCTACCATCTTCCTAATCTCTGTCCCGGCAACAATCTTCGGAAATTTTCCCAGCTCTCAGCACCTTCCCAGAGTTTTTCCAGGATTTCCACTTTTCATTTATACTCCACTTTTCCAAAAAAAACTATCCTCAAGCCTGTAGGGGAACATATAGTGCGTTTGAAAGGGGAAAACCGAGAAAGGTCAAAGCAACATCGAAAGCACTGTCTCGACGGCAAATACGACCCCCTCGCTAGGGTTGACGTGCCCTGATATGATGTATGGCGCGTTCGAAGCACGCGGTAGCCTCGATCCGATTACTCTACAGTTGGATTTTTTGATGGAGGTCCTGCTGCGAAAGACCAGAACAGAGGACTGCCAAGGAATGGAATGTGCAGAAATCGTGTAGCAAGCCAGGCGACTACCTTTTTCAGGGGAGGGGACTACGGGGTGGGTGAGCCACTTATCGCGTGTGGAAAGTTGGAATCTGTAAGATCACATTGGGCAAAAATACATGCAGGCATGAGAGCGCAGAGAAAAACAGAAATTTGGCGGGATTAAAGGGTTTGGATTCAAGCTGCCCGTAGACCGACGATCCGATCACCTGTCCCTTGGTGTCCTTTTATCACGAGGCGCATCATCATGTCCTATATTCTGCACGACGACCTTCTCCAAGACGGGGTTCTTTACCGTCTTGAAAAACACCCTTATCGTGAAGCAGTTCTGCAAGACAAAAGTGATAATTTTTAGTAATCATAGCTAAGCCAATAGTGCCAAAACATCAGCCGAAATAAAAGCATACCGTAGGGAGCTTTTGTACTTTTCTGATTTATGTTGAATGTGTTTAAGATCTTCTCGCTCTGGTGTTTTCTGCACCAATTCAATTGGCGCCGACACAAGTGAAGCAGGATGGCGATATGGTTATCACAGCATCAGAATCATCTCATTTCGAAAGTCATCATACGTCTAGTTACCATGAAGAGACGCGAGTCACTGAGTCCCACGTTGAAATGAGTCGCTCCTCCGAACAGCACAGTCATGTGGACAAATATGAGGACAAAAGCGATGCACATCCAGGATACACGGTAAGGCAGGACAATTTTTCAGCAATTGTAATCCTGAAGTTAGGTTTTCATAGGTGGGATATACTCCATGTAGCAGGCAGGACCACTGTCGCAGAGATTGCGGCATTTTGGTCAGTCGAAAGTACAATCATGGTCCATGCAAACAATAGGGCGTGTGCGGGCGTGAACTGGAATGAACCGGAGCGGCCTTTTCCACCAATGATGTCGTACTAAGTCGGCCACAACTGGCGGGAGGATGTTCTGGCTACGCTCTTCGTCACACCCCTTCACACGCCCTATCATTTGAAGGGATCGTGACTACACATACACTCCATATCTCAAAGTTGGAGAGCTCGTCTCTGTGTACTTCACTGACGTGGCGGGAGCTGCGCATCTGAAGTGATTTTGCAGTTTGAGAACATGTGTAAAAACAATGTGAAACTCCAAAAATTTATTCCAAAAAACTCAAAAGACAACAAAAGTCTCAAAAGTTTTTCAAAATATCTTATCTTGCAATATTTCGGTGCGTAGCACCTTCCTCAGGCCTGAAATTATTTAGCTTGACTTGACAAGTAATGAGACTCCGGGACAGCACTATACTTCGAATGGTCCGCCGTGTTCGAAGTAAGCAGCCACGCCCACTCCATCGTAAAGATGTGTAGTGTACGTGGCTACAACGCCACGGGATTGCTATCGTTGGGCGTCCACGGTTCCTAGGATGATAGGCGCCTGTACAGTCAACTCTCGCTGCTCGTCTGCGACCTCCTATCGGGAGAGGTTGATGGCTTTCAAGGCTAGTGAGGCCTCCTTTTCTGTGGGAATTTTGGGTGCAGAACGCGAGATAACGCTATAATATCGGAAAATGTGACCCATAACGGCTTTCTCAGAAGGTTACGTACACCTCATTATAGCTTACTGCGGTCCTGTCGGAGGACTTTTGAACAGAGCTCTCTACGAAATGTGATGATAGCCGTTGCTTATAACTGGGGGAAAGCGCAGACGAGCAACGCGTAATGTATCTCATCGGGTGGTGGGCGGAGCCACTCTTGCGTGCGATAGCTCCAAAGTTCCTGAAAATGTTTGCAAAAATAATATATGATGCCATTGTGGTGGAGTGTAGCATTTGGGTGGCAATAGGCACCTCCCCATATGAGCTGCAGTGCCCCGAAGTCTTCAGTGAGACAGGCGCGCTTTGGTGCATTTTTCCCAGTTTCACACCCAAGCGGCTGTATTTTCCAGAAGGCCTCAGCTAGAGGCTGTTGAGATCTTATCGACGATTATATTGATAATTTTATCGTATTAAAAGAAACCAGTAATAAAGCTAGAATTTAACTTGCTAAAATTTCAGCAGCATTACTACCAATTCAGCAACGATGGCAGGAGGGATACTGTAAGTTAGCTGTCGTAATAGTATCATATTTTTGGTGGTGTTGATGACTCAAAAAACCACTTTTAGAACGCATCTGCCGTATCTGGGGCTACTTCTGTGTCTGTGCACTCCAGTGTCTCTAACCAAACCCGTGAACAGGTACTGAATCACTTCCTTGGTATTGTTATCAAGGTAATGTGTTACAGAGTTACGACCTACCACCACTGGAACCCTTTGTGCCTTCGAGCGAAACACATGCGGAGCACAAGCGTGGAAGTACTGGAAGGTACTGCACTATAGATTGTTGTATTCTTTCGGGAGGAGAAGGGTCATTGAGGTCATTGAGTGCTTCTTCGGAACTGATTGTTGCACTTTGTAAGGGTTCATACATGAGCTTCAGAAGTGTAGTTCATTGTTCCTGCGGGACTCGGAAATGCCACGATGGAAGTGGAATGTTCCAGAATAACTGAGTCTTGGTTACTGCATAGCGCTTGTGGTACCAACTGGTTTCAGTCTGGCCAGGTTCTGAGGTGACAAAGGGTAAAAAGCAGCGCAAACTAAAGCCACGAATAAATGTTCAACAGCAGGCAGTGAGAATGACGTAGGATAGGAGAATGAGCTTCAATCGTGCAGT